AGAAAAGAAAAAGTAGCCTTGGCCAATATGCTTCCTAGCACATGGAGGAGGTGTGTGCTGCTGGCTAGAAACAGAAGGAACTGGGGACAAGCTGCTTCCTGACTTTTGTTCTCAAAAACCCAAGCTCCTTCAGAAGGTTCTGATGGACAAAGGATAAGAACATGTGGATTTTTTGAATAACAGGGATCCTTTCCCCGCTGCCTAATGGCATTCTGGGGGTGGAGCTGGACCCCCGAAAGAATGGCTGCAAGGTGTCTTCAGGGAGGCTGGATCCTTTGCACTGTGTCACAGCCCAAGCACAGATCATGTGCCCATCCAGGACCTGGAAGTGGCAGAGCTTCGTAAATTAAAGGGAACACACGGGCTTGGCAGTGAGTAATTTGGTGGTGACTAGAATAGAATAAAGGCCAGATGGACTTCCCCAAATATTCTGCTTTTTAAAAACTTGCCACCTACGATATTTGCACAAGCCTGGCAGAAGACCCAGTAATGATTGAGATTGAATTTCCCTTCGGTTTAGTCGAATGTGGGGGCAGGGTCAGATTTAATTTGATTTTAAAAAAAGGGAAATGTAACATTTGCTCGTTTGTTTACTGTTTTGTGGGGTAATATTCAGACTTACTACACATCTCTCTCTCAAAAGATAGGAGCTTGCCAAATAATGTAGTGGGGTAATTAGACTAGATTATTGCTAAGGCCTAGTCTGACTCAAGCAGATTGTAGAATTCAAATAGAGTTGAGAAGCTCAAACTAGGGCTAATGTTGTAAGATAGATCAATGTTCTGATTATCTAAATATCTTGAAAAGAATGGCTGAAATGGTTGAAACTGGCTGAGAGCAAAAGAAAAAACATTACCTCTTGTGTCTTTTGGCATATCTCCATCTTATATTTGGAGAACTAAACAAGTTTGTCAATAGGGTGATATTGATATATCTCTAAAAAATAATGCCACTGCCTTCATCTATAAACCCTCTGCTGAGTTCTTTACAAACATTGACATCACCCGCACAACCTACCTGTAAGGCAGGTGCTGTTTGCCATCTGTCCTTGCCGATTAGGAAACTGACACACAGCAGAATGAAGTGACTTGTCTAGTGGCCCAGAACCAGAGGGTGATGGGCCCAGATCATGAGCCAGGGTGATTTTAGTCTATGTCTTGTACTCTTTGTCATGTGACCCTGCCTCTCTTATCTACTGACAACACGTTTTATTATGGAAGTGTCGGGAAAGTATGATGGCAGCAGAAAACCGAAAATCTGAGAGGCAAAATGGTGAAATATTAATAAATGGAGCTGACCAAGACAAGGCAGGCTGGATATTTAAATAAAAATCACTAGTGAGACCACCCTCACGAGACCCAACTATCTGATGAGTGAAAAGCTTTATGAAGCAGTGGAAAACCAATAACGATTTTAGGCAGGGCTTGGTAGGCAGTTAACAGAGCTGGAGAAGAATTCTGATTTGTGTTTTCTTCAAGATCTAGGCTTTTGTGGTTAATTTTATTGATGGAAGAAACTTTCCTCTTTTTGTTTTCCTTCCCAGTATTCTTTCTGGGAAGCAAAGTTGAAAAGCGAAATAATTCTAAGCTTCAGAAATGATATCTCAAAGATCTTTTTGTATTGAGTTTACCTTTTTCCAAGGCTTTGAGGGTCAAGGATTGTTTTAACCAGGAAGTTAGTTGGCTGCCCTTGGCATCTAATCAAAGCTGCACATGAAATTGGAATAGCTTTACTGGGGTTCCACCCTTGGCAGGATTATCAAGTAAACAGCCATTGTCTTTGGTGAATTCCTATCTTTCCCTCCATCCCTTTTCCCCTCCAGCAGCTTTCCCTATCTCCCAGATCTGTTTTTACTCCATTGTAGGTCCCATTTATTTTCTTAGTTGGCTATCAGAATCTTCTTTCCAAGATGTGAAATCGTGATAATACTAATTGATCGTAATGTTTCAGGGTGACACTTTCTCAGGGTGCCTATAGAAAATGATTAACAGCCAAGGAGACAAAGTTATGCTGTGTAGAGGGTTGACAGGTTAAAAAGCAGTAGATACCTGTTCATGAGACTGATTTTAGACTTACCGGCGGGGTTTTAATGGTAGTTGTGCACAGGCTAACAAGTATGTGGGGAGCACTCAGGGGAGGGTGTCCTGGGTGCTCTTACTCCCACAGGTGCCACCGTTGCCGAGATGCACTGTGTTGTCACGCGGGTGCAGCGTAGGTGGGGGACGTGGGGAAAGAGGGGCGGGAATACTGTGCAATCAGCTGGTGACTCATTTTCACATCTGAACAGAAAGTCCTGGCATCCTTGTGCTCTGGATTAAGTCAGTAAATAAAGACAAATACAGCACCGCCAGAACACGCCCACTCCTGTTTTAGCTGAATTAGTGAGGTAGGTTAATGCTGTCGGAGGGTGTGTGAAATGGTATTTGGAAGATAAAAGGTCCAAACTAAAGAGCACACAACTCAGGACATCTTATGCTCAGAAATTAACACTCAAAGACAAGACAGAGTTCAAGAAACTAACACGGTTTATCTTACTTAGTCGGTCAACCAGCTTTATTGAGAGCTCTTATAGTGAAAAGGCAGATATTACGTTGGGTGCAAAGCTGGTGTACTGAATGAAAACTGGTCCCTGTTCCCAGGAGGCTTACTGTCTGGAAGAAATCAACAAGTCAGCAGAAGGTTGCAGCCCAGGTATGAAGGAAGTATCATGGCGGCGGTAGTCACAGGTGACCATATTAGTACAAAAAATGGGTGCTAGAACTAAGGGGAACTGGGAGAGGCTGCAAAGGCTGAGGAGGTGGCCCCCAAGCTCTTCTCTAGAGCCCGTGATATTCAGGCAAGGGGAGGTGAAGGTGGTGTGGGAGAGATGTGGGATGCTAAGAAGAGGGAGCCCCATGTGCTCAGGCAGGCAGGTGAACGAGGCTGACACATTTCAGCAACTACCAAGGGAGGAACTGCAGCACAGCTGGCTTAGAGAGTGGAGAGTGGGGGCCAACAAACCGAGACTGGAGCCAACATGTGGAGTATGTGGAATCCAGACCAAGAAGCTTAAGATTTCTATTGCCAACTCTGGGTTTTAAGCAGGGGAGTGACAAGATCGACTCTGCAATTTACAATGATGACTGTCAGCAAGTGCAGACAGTGGTAGCAGGAGAGCAGAAGTGACCTGTTAGGAAGCTACCGTGCAAATCCAGGGGGGCAGTTTTAGAGCTCCAATGAGAGTGATCCGTTGGATTCTGGGAGTAAGGAAAAAGAAAGCATCAAAGGTCACTCCAGGTGCTTCAGGGGATGGGTCCTTGGGGGAATGGAAGTGCCATCCACTGAAATCAAAATATAAGAAATGGAGCAGATTCATGGGGGAAATGTCCAGATCAGTTTGGGACGTGTTAAATATGAAAAATGAAATGGCCAGGTAAGAATGCCCAATGTACAGGTGAATACAAAGGCCTGGAAATTGGCAGAACGATTCGGGCTTGATTTAGAGATTGGAGAGTCAACGGCACGTGGGTGGAACCTGAAGCCAGGGGACTAGCATAGATTGCACATGTAGAAAGGATGCTTGCCATGAGAAACAGCCAAAGGCACTTAGGGCCTGGACCATATTCATGTCCAGAACAGAATTGGGCAGGAAGATAGGGCAAAAGGAAACCAAAAAGTGGTGTTCAAGAGAGAAAAAGTAAGAGAAAATAAAAAGTTGGTTCAAAAATTAACCAACTTGTATTCAATGTGATTTTTTTAATTGCTTTATTCAATTTGCTGGGTTCTCCCCATGTCTATTTTACTCCAGGTGGAAATAGCATTTCCAGAAAGAATAGTCTTTCAAGCCATTTAGATACCATAGATACCATAGAAACCAAATCTTGATTAACTGGAATGTTTAGAAAATGGAACGCTCTAATTAATTTAATTTTCAGGTTACTAGTTGGGGATCAGTTTCAGTAAGCGAATATTTAATTAAATCTTCCTCTGTTCTCTAATTTTCAGTGCCCATTGCTCATTATTGTGTTGATTCAAATTTGCATTTTATTTGGCTCTGTCCCACTTTTCTTTCTCCCCTCCCCCTCTTTGCTCAGTTGCCTTTTGACCCACTAGCCACACGTTACCCCACGCCACTGTCTCCTCACATGGGCTAGTCACCATAGCTGTGTCACAAACCACCTTAAAACCGAGTGACTGACTTAAATGACAATTACTTTGCTCATGAATTTGCAATTTTAACAGGGCTCAGTGGACACAGCTCATCCCCGTTCCATTTGCATCAGCTAGGGTGACTCAAATGTTGAGAAGTGAAGTGGCCTGTGACTCCTCCAGTGTCTTCTCTACTTTCTGTAGTCTCTGTATAGTCTCTCCTCTGTAGCTTCAAAGTACCCAGACTTCCTACATTTAAGACACCTTACCTCCTGATGCAAGGATATGAACATCACATTTTAAGAAGGGCATGTGGCTATGATCCATGTTGGTTCTACCATATTTGTAAAATACAGTTCGCCACACTAGATAGCCACTGCCTTTACCCTCAGTCCTGCCTGCTTGGGACCATGTCTTCTGTGGGTCTGTCTCTCTATTAGGAGCCATGTGAGCCCCCTATTCATCCTGTTCGTGGTAATAACTCACTTCTCATATGCCTCTTTCCATAGCAAACTGCTCAGGACCAGCTCTTAATGAGAAAGAGAGCTGACTAAATTGTTCAAATTTGTCTGTATGTGGTAGTCTTTCCCAAGACCTATTGCTTTTATAATGGATAACAATTACCCAATAATTTCCCAATATGATCGGATAATGATATATTTTTAGGCCTCAACAAGTTGGAAGAGAGAAATGTTTGGCTGAGAGGCCTTTAAGACACCCTCACAATGAAGACTTTCCAAATGTCATCAGTCGTCCATCTGCACATCAGTCTTCTATGGGGAATAAAGCTGAATCTCTCAGGGCATACCCTACAAGTTGTTATTTAAAGAATAAATCTAGGCTATGACTTTATTTTATAGTTATTTACTTTTTTCTTCTGAAAATTGAGTTCTAAAGAAAGACTATAGTATTTAGGGAAACAGACCCCAGTTTTACTGGAGAGTAGAATGCCTATGGGATCCCTGGAAGTTAATGTAGTTTCCCAAGTAACTAGTTGAAAAAGTTAATGTAGTTTCCAAAAGAAGTCTAAAGCTTCATCTGTGAGATTTACTTTTTAAGCCTTCCTTCATGCATCTTTCTTATCCTTCACTTCTTTTGCAGAAAATGGCTCTGAAGATATTGATGTACTTCCTAGTGGGCTGGCTTTTATCTCCAGCGTGAGTATTTTCCACACCCCTCAGACGCTCATGTCAATAGCCGAATAAATAGTACATTAATGTTGCCGACTAGAGCTGCCAGATGGACCCCTACACACTCATCCCAACTGTGGTTAAAGCAGTCAACTAAAAAAGCCAAAACAGGGATTCCAGAGGGCTAATTGGGTTGCCACAGGAATGCCCAGGTTTGCTTGGCCCCATGTGGGCAGCTCCCTATGGGCAGTTACAAATTCAGTAGGGTCTCAATAAATGTCTGTTGATTTCCACTGGATTCCTAGACGAGTCTCCAGGTTTGTCCGGCTAGTGTCATCATTGCCCTAGTTTGCCGGAACTCAGTTTCTGGTCGTCATGTTCTCACTAACTGGTATTCTTCTCTCTATGCCTGCCTGTGTTTGAGGCTCGGGAAATGTCTGTGAATCATATGTTGACCATGTTAGGCAATTCAAAAGCCTGAGCATTTTCCATCTTGGGTTCCCTGCCATTCCTTCCAACTCTTTCAAAGACAAGTAGAGAAGGGTCTGCATTTTATTTCCAATACCACCTTCACAGGTTTGGGATGATCAGGAAGCTATGTGAAGGACTGACAAATAAATATAAATAAATTAAATACAATAAATTGAAATATATATGGTGTAAAGATACTGAAAATTGCCATGTATTTATTGAACAGTTGCAATTTGGAATGCGACCTAAGATTCTGAACAAGCAAATTGACTCCATTTTCAATGTGAATTCTGATTGCTGGGACTGCATGTCCTAAATATTCTATTTTGACCAATAGAATACTACCAAATAACATGAATTTTAAAATCTATATCTTTTTGGCTAAAAGGGGACACATATAACACTTAAAGACCTGAATTTCTAAATTCTTAAGTATGCACAGTATAGTAGGCTTTTGTTTGGATTTAAATTGCTGTTGGTAGTGATATGTGTTGGGTGGGGGGGTGGGAGGGATTTTATTCCCTTAGTTTTCCTCCAAAACCAAAACTAAAACAAAACTGTCTAGAAAAGCTTTTCCTCTGTTGTCTTAAATTATCTATTGTCAATTTAGATGTTATGCCAAATAACAATGTTATGCCAAATAGACTTTTAAAAATGATTATTCTGTAACTGGGAGATTTCTCCGCTTTTAGGAGATAATATCTGTAGTTCCAGCAGTAGCTTCTTTTCTATTTTCACTGGAGCTAAAAGTACTGAACTATTGCTGTATAGAAACTGGAGGTTTTCAGCGGAGAAATGTTAACAGGGGGCTTTAAGTAATAGAGTTCTTCTTTGTAAACTAACGACTCCTAGGCTAAGGATGATTTTTTTTTTTTTTTTTTGCTTATTTTCAATCTCTTTGCACTGCAGTAAATTCAAGTCCTTGTTCTTGGTTTTTCTTATCTCCCTTTCTTGCCATCACGGAGCATGTTTGGAAGCTGCTGACGTAGGTGAGAAATTCTGCGCGATATTTGTAGTCAGTCTATAGACAGGTGCCAAGCAGGTTATTTGCTTCTTTACCTTGGGACTTGGCATGCCTCTCCTTGCCTGCCTTCTTCACACATTATGGAGCCAGCTCCTCATTCTCTGTCAGCCTTTCTGTAATCACACTTTAATTCCACAGGAAAGTCTTCCCCAATGCTCTTTCTGGGCGACGTGTCTCTTCTATGGCCCCTCACATTCTCTGTACCTAGGCTCTTCCTTACCACATCATAACAGACGTGCTTGCTTGGTGCCGCCTCCCCAGATTTCAAGCTCCTTGCAGCCAGAGTTTTGTGGAGCGTCCATTGCCATGCTGAGCACCTAACGTGTTACCTGACATATACAGGGTGCTTGAAATATTTACTGAATGCGTGTGCTGGTGAATGAGGGCAGTAGAGAAGTTCAATGCCTACTCACACTCATAGGTAGCCTATTGGGGAAAGTAAAATGCTGCCCCTCCAGGGGATTTTCACCATTTTCAGTGACAAATGATATCCAAAGAATTGCTTGCACTGACTTGCTACAAATTCCTACCCAACTGCCTTCAACAGAAAACCGGCTGCATATGAAGCCACTTATTGGAAGTGTTTCATTCATCATGACACTTATTGTAGGTCAAGTTTGTTTGCAATGTCCTACCCTTATTTACCTATTAAATCATTTCAATTTCAAGAACATCCAGTCTTTGAACTAGGTGGCAGTGCCTTTGTGTGCACCCAGGCTACCAAGATACTTACTAAGGTGGTCTTCCTTGAGCTGTCTTCCTGAGTAGCGGTCTCCACTGTCAAACCTTTCTTTATGGTGTGGCAGAAAGAGTGTACAATTAAAGATGTGAGTGACCTAGGCAATTCACTTCTCTGGGCTTCATTTTCCTCAGGTGAAACGGAAGAATTAGATGTCTCTGACATTTTTTGTCCATTATTACCATGACCTAAGCTGTTGGGCTTGATGACAGCCTGACTCTGAGGAAAGGGTAGACTTGAAGACTGAATTTCATGGCCTGATATTGGGGAGAACAGTGACGCCCTTAACTGTGAATAATAGATACAAATGAGAGCAAGGATTCGGGGAGAGAATGTTGATTTTGGTTCGGACAATTTGATTTTGAACTGCTGTTAGGAAGAAGTTGGAAATGCTTACAAGCTAGAGCTCCGCAGAGAGGTTCCACGTAAATGGGTAGACCTGAAAATAATTGGTATAGAGAAATATCCAAAACCTTATGAATAAGGTCTGCAAGGAAAGAGTATAGAGCAAAAAGAAAGGAGGGGTGGTTGAGGATAGGAGGAGGAAGGGGCAGACTTCCATCTGGAAAGTCTACTTTTGACTTTTTTTTTTGACAAGTAATAAAGGGGTACATCAGAGTGTCAGATGCCATAGAGATACAGATAAGGAAGGGGGCAGGGATTATCAAGTGAGATATTTTGGAGAGCACTGATATGACCTCGGTAGAGGCGCTTCTACAAAACATGAGAGTTGGCGCCGTTCAAGGCAGGCGACAAGACCAAGTGAGGTTTCTAAGAGAGCTGACAGTGAGGGGAAGGCAAGATAAACGTGTGTTTGAAGGAGTAGTTAAATTAGGAGAAGATTTGTCTCAAGGAAGGAGAAATGAGCAATTTTTCAGGCAAATGAAGGGGGCACTGGTGAGAAATGAGGGGTAAAGCAAGAGAGAGACTGTAAGTTCTAAAGACAGGTCCCCGAGAACAGGCAACCAAATAAACAGGTGGGGGAAGTAATTAACTTAAGAACAGAATAGCGACACTCTTTCCTTAAGAAAAGAGGGAGAAAGGAAGAAAATTGATAAAATTGAAGAATTACCAAGACAGAAAGGAGGGAATCAGAGGAAATCCATGTTGAGTGGCATGAGTTTTTTTGTTTGCTTGTTTGTTTTTTTCAGAGAAATAGGAGGTAAAGTCATCCATTGAGAATAAAGAGGAGGAAGGTATGTGCTCTGGAAGACAATAAAATAAGTTGAGAATGGATACTTGAGGAAATGCAATAGATTACCTATTAGAATGAACAAAGAGATTGATAAGCAGTGTTGAAGATCTGATTGAAGTTGGGATGATAACTTTGCTGTAGAAGTTTTTGAGCTGATTTCAGACTGGCCCTATATAAAAGCTAGTCCAGGGCAAAGGGAGTTGGCAGGAATTTGATAGGGAAGCAGGAAGCAAAGTGTGTGGTTTCCTTAGAAGACTGACTGTTGATTGATGATGACAGGTTCAAGGTCTAGAAGGAGAAGTCTGTGGCCAGGGGCATGGGGATCTCTCCTCCAGGTGAGGTGACCTAAGAAAAATGAAGCCGGAATTATACCTCCTCGGATGGGCTTCTGCAATGTCATTGTTGTCTGGGGAAAAGCCAGGTTTCTGGTAAGATTTAGGCATAGAAGAACTGTTCTTTAAAAAGCTCGAAGATGAGGGCGCCTGGGTGGTTCAGATGGTTAAGCGTCTGCCTTCGGCTCAGGTCATGATCCTGGAGTCCTGGGATCGAGTCCCGCATCGGGCTCCCTGCTCCTCGGGAACCTGCTTCTCCCTCTGCCTCTCTCTCTCTCTCTCTCTCTCTCTGTCTCTCATGAATAAATAAATAAAAATCTTTAAAAATCTCGAAGATGTATGTGGGGTTGTTTGCAACTGAGGATTGACTGCCCCAGGGGTGGGGTGAAGGGCAGTGGAAGCGCCGAGAATAGTATTATTGTAAGTGTGTGGAGGTGTGTATGCGTGATTATAAGAAAGGGAGGGGACAAGAAGACAGAAGATAGAGTAAGGAGATCATTTAAATTGACTATAAATGGAAATGAGGGTACAAGAAAAGATATAAAATTGTTGATGTTAATATATATCAGAGTGATGGGGGAGGGTGCTAGGGAGGAAGTGGGCTGAATTTTGCCATTGGTGTAGCACAAACCAACTCCAAGTTTGACACAATGACCTGGGATGCAGCAAAGGCCCATTGCCTATTATTGGTTGATAGACACGCGTCATTGGTCCTTCCAGGGGAAAAAGCCACCGTCCAGGTTACTGACATAAACTTTTTGCAATATTTGAAGAAAAGGATTCATGTCCAAATTTTCAGACCTAACTATAGGAACAACATAGATCAGAAATAGTCAACTTTACGTGACTGGTTCCCCTATGTGAATTCTTGGCTGCTTCTAATATTTGTCACTATGTAATATAATGGCTGTAGGGAGGGGAGCAATATAAGGAAAGCATATACCCCTTCTCTCTGCTTTAAGGAAGGTTAGTTGCTGATTCTCAGGACTGGAAAGGACAGACTCTCAGGACTTAGCAATCCTACACTTTAACTTTCTCATTTTATAAAAGAGGAACTAGAGGCAGAAGCAGGCCAAGGGACTCACACAAAGGAACCCAGCCTAGTGTCTTGCATTACACTTTTTGGCTTCACCCTTTCTCTCTCTATTAGTAATTGAATATGGGTTCTTCCCACATTCCCATTCCCATTCCCAATGACCCAGGTGTCATTAGTAATCCCTCAGATCAGATAATGGCACCAGCTGACAGAGCAAAAAATCCCAGAAATCTAAGAGAAATGCAGGTCTTTGAATATTTTTGTTAGGCTTTGAGATTTTAGCTTCCATATGAAAATATTGTGAAGTGTATATATGCATTTACTTATTTTATATTTTTTACAGGGATTGAAATATCCAGGCATGCCAAACTTTGCACCAGATGAGCCAGGACACATTTTCCTGATAGATCTGAATGAGCAAAACCCAAGGGTCCAGGCACTAAACATCAGTGATGGTTTCAACAAAGCATCATTTAATCCACACGGAATCAGTACTTTCACTGATGAAGGTAAAGCCCGAATGCTTTAAAATAAGGGGTAAATGAGGGAAATACAAGCCACTCAACCTCCACAACTCAGTGTGTATGTGAAAGGAGGGAAAATTTTATTTTACTGGAAAGATGGATATTTGTAAGATAATAAATGTGTACCAAACATTTGTAAACACCACATTAAAGAAGGGAGACTACAGGGTGGTCATTCCTTCTCCCGCTCATCTCCTTCTCTTTCCATTGGACCTTCAAAACCAGTTTGGAGATTGTTCTCAGAAATCTAACATATAAACTCAAAGGCCTTTGAAAATAATTTGTGTGACATTAGAAAACATAACATGAAAGAAAACAAGATAAACTAGACTTCATCAAAATTAAAAACTTTCTGGTTCAAAAGACACCTTGAAGAAAGTGAAGAAATAGCCCAAAGAATGAAAGAAAATATTTGCAAATCATATATCTGATAAGAGGCTTATATCAAGAATATATAAATCATTCTTACAACTCAACAACAAAAAGACAATCCAATTAAAAAATGGACAAAGAATCTTAGTAGACATCTCCAACAGATATGCAAATGGCCAATAAACACATGAAAAAATATTTAATATCTTTAGTCATTAGGGAAATGCAAATCAAAACCATAATGAGAAAACACTCCATTCCCACTGGGATGGTTATAATAATAATAATAAAAAGGCAGACAATGACAAATCTTGGCAAGGATGCGGAGAAATTAGAACCCTCACACTTTGTTGGTGCAGCCATTTTTTTTTTAAGATTTTATTTATTTATTTGAGAGAGAGAGACAGAGAGAGAGAGTAAGCAAGAGAGAGAGCACAAACGGGGGGGGCAGCGGTGGAGGGCAGAGGGAGAAGCAGAGTCCCTGCTGAGCAAGGAGCCCGATGTGGGGCTCGATTCCAGGACCCTGGGATCATGACCTGAGCCGAAGGCAGACACCCAACCTACTGAGCCATCCAGGTGCCTCAGTGTGGCCATTTTTGAAAGCAGTTTAGCAGTTCTTCAAAATGAACACAGAGTTACCATATGATCCCTAAACTCCACCCCTTGGTATGTCCCCAAGAGAATTGAAAACATAGGTCCACACAAAAACTTATACACAAATGTTCATGGCAGCATTATTCCTAATACCCAAAAAGTGAAAGTAACCCAAGTTCTCACCAAGTGATGAATGTATATACAATGGGATATTATTTGGCAATAAAAAGGAATAAAGTTCTGACACATGTTACAACATGGATAAATTTTGCAAACATTATCCTAAGTGAAAGAATTCAATCACTAAAGGCCACATAGTGTATGATTGCATTTATATCAGCTGTGCAGAATTGGCAAATTCATAGAGACAAGAAGTAGCTTAGTGGTTGGCAGAGGCTGGGAGAAATGGGGAATGACAGCTAATGGGTTTGGGCTCTCTTTTTGGGCTGATGAAAAAGGTCTGGAGCTAGAGAGTGGCTTTGGTTGCAACAACTCTGTGAACATACTAAACACCACTAAATTGTGCGGTTTAAAATCTTGAGTTTAACAACAATGCATTATATCACACAAAAACTGTTGCAAAAAAATCGAAGTTATTAGTACATTGTATATACTTTAAAACAACAGTTTCTGATGTTCTTTCGTACTTGTTCATTGTTCATAATTCCCAACTAATTTAATTTTTAGATATTTGTGGGTCCATAGGGTATGTGGAAAAGAAAAACAGTGAGACCTCATTAATAGTAACCATGTGAAGGAAAAGCTAAATGGAAGTGTTGCAATTCGGAATTTTTAAAGAAATTGTGTGTTAATTCTTTCAAATACATACTGGAGTTACAATGTATTGTTAAGAATACATTTGTTGGAGTGATTTTATTGAATAAAAAAGAATAATTAATAATTATTAATTCACTCATCCAACAGATCTTTGTTTAATTCCTTTGGTCTGCACGAATAGACTTGTTCATTTTTAAATAAGTGGGTTCCTTTTAAAATTTTCATATATAATTTATTCCTCAAAATAAAACACTGGGCCCAGCCTTGGTACTTCTCCCCTTCCTGCCCCATTCAGTCACCTAGTTCCAACGTTCTGTCCCATTTACCCTTCAAATATCTCTCCAAGCTGTCCACCTCTCCCATCCTCGGTGTCACCATCCCATCCCAAGCACCCAACATGTCTTCCCTGGATTCTATAATGGCTCCCCTGACTATACCTTCTCTCTTATACCACCTCCATCCATTTTCATAAGAAAGAGCTATTTTTTATGCAAATCTGATCATGTCCCTCCCTTCTTAAAATTCTCCATATTGTTTCCATTACTCTGGAGAAAAGTCGCAATTCTCCAGAGTGGCCTGGGCTCTGAGGCGCTACCCATGTGTATTCTGGCATGTGCGTGTTTTCTCCAGCCTCACCAGATACCACCTTCCCCTTGACTCCCTGGACCAGCCATACTGGATTTCCTTTAGACCTATAAAATGCTCCATGCCTCAGGGCCTTTGCATTTGCAGTTCCCTCTGAGTGGAATGTCTTTCCACCACTTCTGATTTACTCTTCCTCATCATTCAGGCCTCAGTTTAAATGTCACTTTCTCAGGGAGCCTTTCCACCGTCTTGTTTCCGGGTGTGAATCTTATTATATTTCTTCTCAGTATAGTCCTTCTTTTAGCACTCATCAAAATGGCAATTAAAGTTTTTTATTAATGTTAAATGTTACCAACCTTCTTTCCCTCTCCCACTGTTGCCCTATAGTGAGCTCCTTCACATCTTTAGATCCAAGCTTGTCACTCTTTAAGTGGGTGCCACTCTATGAAGAAGGCATCTCCCCTCTCCAGTATTCTTGTATTTACTAATTATTTCCTCCCTGTTTTCTTCTTCAGAATACAGTCACCATAAAATCATGTGTGACTTGTTTATTGCTGGATTCCCATAGTCTAGAACAATGTCTGTTGCATAGTAGGTACTCTATGAACATGTGTTAAATGAATAAATGAGTGAGCCCCATGAGACAGGGCAGATATTAATACTCAGTTTTATAGATGAAGAAATGGAGTTTGAAGAAATGCAGTGACATGTGACTTCGCATCTGTCATTAATAAATGGCAGTTCCAGAAGTAGAACCCAGGTGGTCTTCTTCCTAATCCTATATCCTTTATTTGGGTGAAATTAGGGCTCCAAGCTCTGATTAAATTATTTGAGCCACCGTTTTCTGGCCTGACCCCCCCTGGACACTTTCATTGGAGAAAGTGTAATGAGTGACCAGATTAACCTGGAGCTGCTTTATTGCATGGGATAGTGTTAGAGGTGGATTTTTTTTTTTTTTTTTTGAAGCATGGGGAGTAGAGGTTCGTTTTTTTATTTTGTTTTGTTTTTGTTTTTTGAGATGGAACCAGTTTACAGATTAACCCTCAAGCATTTAGACTTTCAGAAGCTGAATATATTATGATTGCAATCTTATTTTACTTATTAGTTACTTCCTTTAATTATGCCTTTAATAAAGGCAAAACACACATAAATTGGAATGGAATGAAAAGACAAAAACCAAAAATATTCTTACCAACCATCTCTTATATGGAAGGAGGGGTCCAGTAGAAGCCTAAAGAAGGGGTAAAACCAGGGCAGCACATATAATGTTCATGCTGTGTCTGGCTGAAGGGCCACATGGGGGCTGAAATCCAACTCAGGCTTTGCTTGCCAAACCTCAGGCCCTGGAACAGAGCTGGGTTGGACTAAAAGAAAAATTCACCTGTGAGGAAGCACCTTTCCTTAATTAGGGCTAAAGTACCTGTGTGTTTCAGAGGCCCTGAGTATAACCCCTGCATCTCAGGGCTGGCACTTGCTCTATTGCATGATTGGGAACCCATCAAGAAAGGAATAGGGGACATGAATACAGATCAGGCCCTGCAGTGGGAGGATGGGGCCAGGCTCTTTCAAATTCTGGAGCTCATCTGACCTAGAGCTTCTGTCAAGTCAGAAAACAGTATTTTGAGAAAACAGATTACTGCCCTCCATCCTGTCCCCGGCAGTTCACATTTCAACATGAAAACAGATAGGTGAACATTCTTGAGGTTGGCAGTACCCAGAACTGATTAGTCTTCTTTCTCTTGCATTCGTATTTACTTCCGTGTCCGTTGGGCTCATTAAATATTGTGGTTGGAACGTTAGGTAGTTGACTTCTGTCAGAACTTTATTCTCTAGTGGGACGTGTCCTTATATTAAGGTATTTACATAGCCATGACATTTCTTGAGCGTGTGTTGCAATGTAAGCATTTCTCACAGAAGGAATTCTCAGCACCCTCTTGCTTGCAACCACTTCTTTTGTTGAAGGGCCACCTTGGGAAACCACATCCGTTCTGTATCTTCCTGTTGGAGAGGGTATGTAGTGAGGCTCAGGAGACCATTGAGAAACGTCTGGGCTTGGCTCTGCCACTTGGTGGTGGTGAAATTGCTGATGAGTTATTCACCTTCTGCACCTCAATTTTTTTAGTAAAATGGGTATTCTGGCATTTGATCTAGAAGGTATGCTGTGGGAATCAAATGCAAGGTGTATAAGAAAAGTGCTTGAACATGACCAAGTTGTACACCAAGGCTAGTAATATAATAATAGTTGCAATAGAAGTAAACTTCTTGGAAATTATGCCTTTTTTTCCACCTTAGACCATACTGTGTATCTTTATGTTGTGAATCATCCCCACATGAAGTCCACGGTAGAGAAATTTAAATTTGAGGAAAAACAACGTTCTCTTGTACACCTGAAAACTATAAAACATGAACTTCTCAAAAGGTATGGAATTAAAGTATTTTGTACTATTTATTTTGCACCTCTGCTGTGTGCTTTGTTTTCTTTGGTTCAGCAGGCTTAAACTTTTGTTTTGTAGCATTTTTTTTCCTAAAGCTTTCAAGAGGTTCCCATGGTGACACTGCCCGGCACCTCACTAGAAATTACTGTATTCAGTATTGAATATCTTTATATTCTCCAAATTTCTGAAAGCATTTTAATCCTATAAAGGTGCTCAATTAGATTCCCAGCTCTAATTCCATCCTCCATACCGCAACAATGCAATACCCACTATTGGGCTCTCTTCAAACACCTACATCTGTTTCTAGTTGTCCCAGTAGGTTGTGTTCTGAGAGCCTACTGACTGGGTGTTATAACCAGCCTCCAGATGGGCCATTCCTTTGTTTGATAAAAGCTTTAGAGCAGGATTTGAAAAAAGACTGTAGGCACATATAAAAATTCACATTTACTAAGTGCTATGTGCCAGGCCCTGTGTCAAAATACTTCATTTAATTCTCCCAACAGCCTTTAGTAATAGGCATGAGTAAACTGGGACCTAAGAAGTTTCGGGTTAAGTAACTTGTCCAAATTACATACTCTATAAGTGGCAGAACCAGGGTGTTAGCCTAGATCGGTTTGAATTCAAAGAATAGGAAGGTCACCTTTTCTCCTTTGCTCTCTTTCTCAAAATCATGTATGAATTTCTCCTCATAGAATTTGGGGGTGACAAAAGCAGAGGGCAGAAGAAGAGAAGTTGGGGGGGTCACTGAACTCTTCCCATGATGCATTGCACTGGGTTCACTGTCACTGCCACAGGGTGACTGAGAAACTGAACGAATCTCTCAACCTATGCTTCAGTGTCCTCAGTGAAATGGGGGTTCTCTCATTGGCCTGACTTACCTAACTGGCGATTATGACATATGACCTCACTGAACGAGTTTTTTTCCATGAAAGCACAGCATGAGGGAAAACTCAATAGGTAACTACTTTATTGGAGAGTTACCATCCTAGGACCGAGAAGTGAAGGATCAGCCTGAGGCAGGGAGAGGGGGTATTATGGGTTGAATTGTGTCCTCTCAAAAAGATATGTTGAAATTTTAACCAGCCATCCCCCCCTTGCAACATTTCAGAACATAACCTTATTTAGAAATTGGATTACTGCAGATATACTTAGTTAAGATGAAGTTATATTAAAAGTGGGGGTGGATCCTTAATCCAATATGACTTGCGTCCTAATAAGAAGACAAACAGGGAGAATGCATGTGGGGATGGAGAGTGACATTGGAGTGAAGCATCCACAAGCCAAGGAATGTCTGGAACGACTAGCAACGAATTGCCTCAGAAGGAGCATGGCTCTGTCAGCACCTTGACTTCCGATGTCTCGCCTCCTGTGAGACAGTAAATTTCTATTGTCTTACCCTCCCCAGGTTGTGTCACTCTGTCACGGCAATACTAGGAAGTTCACACAGGGGGAGGCTATCGTGAGTGGTTATTAAGCCAGCCACTGTTAAGTGCAACTGCTTGAAATCATGGGATTGTCCTCCTGTAAGCAACATGAGCCTCATTTTAGGACAACCTGGCCATAAGAAGAAAGCGAGAAGAGTTTATTCACCAGTCCCTTCTCCTATGAGTCAAGGTTTGCCCCAAAGGGTGTTAACTCTTGCACATTCCTGGTTGTGCATGTGCAAGTCAAGTCTGGTGATATCCTGTGCTTTGACATCAACACAGAAGCCTGGAAGCAGGAGCCTGAGGCCTGTAACAGAAATGAGGTAAGGCTGTATAAGGCTACGCTATGGAAGGTCTGGCAGAACCAGGCAGAACTGGTTGAAGAAGTGCCATCTGGAACAGGGCAGGTGAAGCTGAGGACCTAAAGAGGATTTTTGACAGGTGCCCTAATACTCAACCTTAACCAAGCATTTCAAGGGATAGAACAAGATGCTATGGGATCGACTATGGTGTCTGCCGATACTTTTTGGAAGAAGGAATGCTTAAGCTGAGCCCAAAAGATGAGTGGCCTAATGACCTTGGGAAAGTCATTATAAAGCAAAACCTCAAAGTATTTCCTGATTCATCCAAATTTTTTTATAAATTCAATCTAAAAGTGTTTAATTTTTTTTACCTTTTTTTTTCAAGTCGCCATCTTTTTTTCTTTTCCAAAATATAAATGACTTTATTGCTCTTTACTCTTATGAAAGTATGACTTGTTTCATTTAAAAATTTTAATAATACTGAAGAACATGAGCAAGAATGAAGAGCACTCACAATTCTGATGTAAAGATCAAGATGGACTGGGTTATTTCTAAGTGGCAGAACCAGGGTGTTAGCCTAGATCGGTCTGAATTCAAAGCCGGACTCTCTCAGTCACTGTGATGAACATCCTTCTTACTGTGTTGAGAAAAATAGTTTAGTTTTTTAGTGGATAGTTTGCCTGCTCCAAGGCTGTAACAAACAAAGAAGAATTTGTCTTTTTTATGAAATGGACTCAATGCTGAAAGACAGTGGAGGTTAATCTTTTCTGCGATAGAAGAATAGGAAAAAAATTTTGTTACAATAACAGAAAAGAAAAACTGTAATATTTTTAGTGGCTCAAAACCACAAATTTTGCTTTGTTTTCTTACTCAGCCTACATGTCCAAGGTAAGTGATTCAAGGACTCAGTTTTATATTGTCCTCACATAGGGCCCTAAGAGGCCACACTTTCAGTTATCAGAAAAGTTGCTGGTTACTATCGAAGAGTAAGGGAAGCATGGTGGGTCACATGCTGGCTTGTCTTCCATCCAGAAGCCACACACGACATCACTTCATCTCACTGGCTAAAAGCAAGTCACGTGGCTGGGCCAAACATCCAGGGCATGGAGAAGCCTCATTCTAGAAGAAAGAGAACCAGAACTATTGGTGACCACCGATAATAACCATTATTGCACTATGACCACCACACATAACCATTATTGACATTTGCAAGTCAACAATTTGGAATTGAGGTTTGTTTGTATATTTATGTGTTTTTGCTGACTTCTGTGGAAGGAAAGATTGAGAAAATAATAAATGGCTAAAAGAAAACCCGTCAGGTGCAATGAAAAATCATGTCCTTTGGGTGGAATTCATACTGCTTCATGTATACTTTTTCAAACTGATGAACATAAGGGTCTTTGAAATTCAGGGTTTTTGACAACAATCTCGATATTTAAATACTCCATGGGTTTTGCTCTTTCTCTCTTTCTTTTTTTCACTTTAGCCTGAATGACATTGTGGTTCTTGGACCAGAACAGTTTTATGCCACAAGAGACCACTACTTTACCAACTTCTTCTTGGTACTATTAGAGATGATCATGGATCTTCGTTGGACTTATGTTGTTTTCTACAGTCCAGGAGAGGTCAAAGTGGTAGCCAAAGGACTTAGTTTTGCCAATGGGATCACAGTCTCACTAGACAAAAAGTAAGCTTTTATAATTTTCCAATACTTCGCTCTTGACATTTTAGTGGATTCCTTCCTTTAAGAGGTGTTTACTTCCTTAGGCTTAAGTAGTCACTATATAAGTGGACGGACCAGGTGTGGCCAGGATTCACACTCTATGGGTGATCATAAGCACACCATTTGCCCTCTTACATGTCAGGCTCCCCCCAATGAAATGAAGAATGTGGACTCAAGGTTGTGAGGTCCTTGTTTCAATTTATTATGTGACTCTAGAAACACAGTTACCCAACACACTGAAAAGGACAATAAATGCACAATATCTCTGCCCTTTATGAGGCTGAAAGGTGTTTAACCACTTACACTAAGTTGAGTTACCCAAAAGTTCTTTTTAGAGAAGGAGACCTGACTTAGACTGGGCATTGTGATTGTACGAATTTCAGATTTACTGATATACTACAGCAGGCTTTTCTGTAAGAAAATCCGATTTCATGCAGCATGAAATTCTATGAGAAACTCTTTTAAGTGTTTTAAAATGGAAGTTTTTTTTAAAAAGAAACATACCCATGAATATTAATATGTGCATTTGAGATAATAGAGATGATCCCTATAGAAAACAACTCTAGGGGCACCTGGGTGGCTCAGTCGTTAAGCGTTAAGCGTCTGCCTTCGGCTCAGATCATGATCCCAGGGTCCTGGGATCGAGCCCCGCATCGGGCTCCCTGCTCCACAGGAAGCCTGCTTCTCCCTCTCCCACTCTCCCTGCTTGTGTTTCTGCTCTCGCTCTCTCTGTCAAGTAAATAAATAAAATCTTAAAAAAAAGAAAGAAAACAACTCTGTGTTCTTCCTCTTTTTAAAAAATAATTGTGATTGAGCCTCATGGTTATCTGATACTTCTTTGTAAGCACTCATTTTTTGTGGAAGTATAGACTCTTTTGACCTTATAATAAAGAGATCTGCTTACCTCCACCCAATTTAAGGAATAAATTGTGACTCCTAAGTCATGAGACTGAGCTTATATGTCACCTAGAAACATCAAGGTCATTACTTTATAGTCACATCTCATATTTATTTATTTTTTTAAGATTTTATTTATTTATTTGAGAGAGAGAATGAGAGAGAAAGAGAGAGAGAGAGAGAGAGAGAGCATGAGAGGGGGTTGGGTCAGAGGGAGAAGCAGACTCCCTGCTGAGCAGGGAGCCCGATGCGGGACTCGATCCCGGGACTCCAGGATCATGACCTGAGCCGAAGGCAGTCCCTTAACCAACTGAGCCACCCAGGGGCCCAGTCACATCTCATATTTAAAGCTTACTTAAAACTCTTGAAGAATACTAAAAGTAAGACTCTGTTATCTTCTTGTCCTGTGGTTTAGAAAAACATTGCAGTGGCACTTGGAACTCTTATGAATTGTTAGACTTCTCCTCCAAAGTAAAAGTTAATGTCATCTCTCAATATTACTTGCTTACATGTAAATGCTATTTACTTCAAAGGTATATCTATGCAGCTGATATAACTGCTCAGAACATTCATGTACTGAAAATACATGAGAACTGGGATTTAACTCAAGTGAAGGTAAAAGTCCCCTGGCTTGCCCACCCAACATGGCCTCTTAGATCGGCTCCCATGTCTGACCTAGGAATGTGCTCTTTGAATGCAGGAAACATGACTATTTTAGAAGAATATTGGTGAGATTGTGCTTGCACTTCTAAAATTCAGTAGTTAGGCCCTTAAAAAGACCCGTTTCAGGAGCCAGAAGGAGCTGGTGGGAGGGAGGAGTGGTAGAGAAGAAAGTTGAAACAATGTCTTTATATTTCCTCTTTGTTGGAAGGTAATACATCTGGGCACCTTAGTGGATAACTTAACTGTGGATCCGGACACGGGAGATATTTGGGCAGGATGCCATCCTAATGGCATGAAGCTGCTGATCTATAACCCTGAGGATCCTTCAGGGTCCGAAGTAAGTTCCTATACTTCTCTGAGCTCACAGGCAAAGCTGCAAGAACAATTTGTTGAGGTGACTTGGGAGAATTTAGTGGGTCACATGCGATATTCCAGAACTGAACAAGTTCTGCATACAGAAAAAGCAGAGATTTTGGCAGGATGGGAAGATACAGCCCATTAACATTTTCAGGTCTTCTGGTGACAGTTTAACATCAGTGCTAGACAACATGTCCCATCCTTGCAAGGGCTGTACTTGCTATTGGGAAGAATAGATAAGTAGGGGCTTGATTATTCACATTGACCTAGATTGCCATATCATATCTCCAATCTGAGAAGGGCCTGAAGTTGGGCAAAGAGAAAGTCCTATGTGGGGACCATCTTTTTTCACACTACCTACAACGAAGCTCAAAAGAAAGGTTTTAAACGACTGTAGTCTGAAAGCAAAATTAGTTTTTCCAGCAGGTTCTAATATATATGATAGTGTTGAAGACTGTCTCATTTTAAAGATGCTATTTGTGTTACTTAAAATCTCTTCTAAAACAGCAGTGCCTGGGTGGTTAGTCAATTAAGCATCTGACTCGATCTCAGCTCAGGTCTCAATCTCAGGGTCGTGAGTTCAAACCCTGTGCTGAGCTCCATGATGGGCGTGGAACCTACATAAAAAAAGAAAAAATATCTTCTAAAACAGTAGCATACATCATTGAATTTTATATGGCATTAAAAACAAGAGCAGAATTTTCTATAGCATTAAGTTTAAGAATAACAGGTCTCTAGTAAATTCAATATAGCTATAAATTCTTGGTACACCTACTCTGAGAGATTAATTCACAAAAATTTATTGAGTGCTTATAATGGGCCAGACTTTGTTCTAATGCCTGGAACGTGTCGGAAAACAGAACATACAAAGATCTCTGCTCTTCTGGAGGGGGATTGACAATGAAAAATCAGCGTAAGAAATAAGTAAATTATATAGCAAGCTTGAAGGTGGTAAGTTCTATGGGAAAAAAAGTATAACAGAGTAGAGGGGATCAGGATTGCTGTGAACAGGGGGATGGGCAGTCCTATTATTCAACAGAGAAATCAGGGTTAGGCCTCACTGAGAAGGTAAGGTTTGGAGAAAGATACGGTGTTTGAATCTAGGTTTGGGGAGTTGGGAAATTGAGAATCAAACCCTAGCCTGGTAATTGGCCCTGGTAACATACCCTTATTTCTGCTTCCAATTTTGCTCTTCCTCAGTTAAAAAGAAAAATATTTTTTCCTTTTTTACATGAGTTCCAAGTTTGAGTATTTTCATGTAACAAACCTGAGATGAAGTTACAGGATCTTTCTTAAGATGAAAAAACAAAACTGAACTAAACTCTATTCTTAATAAGTGTTGATACATATTCATGACTCATGAATTTCTAATTGGTTTTCTTTAATTCCTGTCATGTCCTATTTGAGTGAACTTCGTCCAGGCTATCTAGAAAACTGAGCACTTTTATGTTTACGGATGAGCAAACTAAAGCGTGTTAATCTTGAGGATCAGTAACAATAGTAGGCAGGATATGTCAGATTGGAATTCCAAAGTATGCATTCTTTATGCTTCTTAGTCACGTTATGGATGCGAGAGGGGGTTCCAGCTGGGACAACTACCATCCTACTGATTACGAGGTCAGGTTGGCTTGCTAACTGAGTGTCCCTTCATCCTCTCTCCTGTGTTTCCCTCCCCACACAGTAGGCCTAGTCAAAGGCAAGACCCTTCCCACAGAGGAACACTATTCACTCAAGAATTAGATAAGAGCACCCACTGGTTCTCACCTCCTTCTTCTATAGGCGATGCCTTGAACTATCAAAATTGTATAAACAATCTTGTTGGGGAATCAGGCGAATGTCAGATAACCAGTTCACTTGACTGCAGAGATATAATTAGAACATTAATACTTTCATCGGAATACCAAAAAAAAAATTATACACAAATTTCAGTGTATTGATTTCTGGGAAATATATTAGTCCTGGAATATTTGAGAAAGAAAGTGTCAGTGGCAGCTGTTTGCTCATATAGCAACTGATGAATAATCTTTTCTTGACAGGTACTTCGCATCAAGAATGTTTTGTCTGAGAAGCCTAAAATCAGCACCGAGTATGCCAATAATGGCTCTGTGATTCAGGGAAGCTCTGTGGCTTCTGTGTACCACGGAAAACTGCTCATAGGCACGGTATTCCACAAAGCTCTGTACTGTTTGCTCTAGACTCCAGACATTCCAAAAAGTCTTGTCAACCGGTGAAAGACAAAATGGCAAGCAGCAAAATAAAAGTGTTTATTTGGGGTCTTTGGGATTGCAAACATGGGAGACATAGATTCGACTAGAATTGAAAGCGTGCCCCAGAGAGACAAAGGAGGTTGGAGTTTTTAAAGAGGAAAGAGGGGATTTATGTGAGTTGTTTGAAGAAAAGGCGCTTGGTGTTGGTATAACTATAGTGACACTAATCTATGTGTGATTGGTTGGCAGGGCAGACAGAAAGTCCATTTATGTCCATCTTAACACCTAGTAGATGCCTTGGCTATTAGCTGAGGTTAGCAAAAATTCTGAGAAATTGATACAGAACATGGGTGCATAAGCCCCACCTCCTCGACGTCTTCCCGGCTCCCTTTTAAATAACTCTCTTAGTAATGGTCACTCAATTTTATTGTCTCTGCTGTCAATCTATATGTTTGGTAAAAACAAACCTGTAATTAGGGGCACCTGGGTGGCTCAGTCAGTGAAGCAGTGAAGGGTCTGCCTTCAGCTCAGGTCATAGTCCCAGGATCTTGGGATCGAGCCTGGCCTCAGGCTCCCTGCTCAGGGGGAGTCTGCTTCTCTCTCCCTCTCCCTCTGCCTCTTCCCCAGCTTTTGCTCTCTTGCTGGCTCACTCACTCTCTCTCTCAAATAAATAAATAAAATCTTAAAAAAAAATAAATCCATAATTATATGATAAGTGGAATTGTACATAAATGACAAACACCAATAATAGTGTGCCCGGCTTTTCTTATGTGAAGAAGCCTAGCGATTACATAATATCCACCAAGTCCTAAGTCAAGTGAGTGACAGTCCAATAAGAAGTCAGACTTCTCAGTGCTTTTTGTCCAATATCCCCAATATTCTTTCTCCAGTAAGATGTGTAATCTGTGGTGAGCGAGGTATCCAGCTCACCCAGGGCTCCTCGCTAACCATGAAGCAAAACTACCTCCTACATCTGATGATCTGAGACTCCAGCTCAAATACAATTCCCCTTCTCTTCCTTTGATTGTGCTAGGCACAAACTGCCGGTCAAGTGCCTAGGCCATGGATAAAAGCAAGAATTGGCACCATGAAACTGCCCAAAGCCCTCTTAAAACATGCAGTCTCTCCAGTAAACACAGGAAATCAGATTCTGGAAAATCTGATGGAGACAGGCCTCACTGGCTACCTTAAGGTAGAACAGGGCTGATCTGTTCCTTTGTAACAAACAGGTCTTTATGTGTAGTGTTATCCTCGTCTAAAGTACTCTAATCAGCTTACATCTGAATCATGGCATGAGGCCTTAGGGCTATGACCTTCAACTGCTTTAAACTTGCCCTCTGGTTAATTCAATACACACCCTATTAAGCGACCTCCCACAGACTTCAACCTATAAATCAGAAATAATGTGGCTTTGGCTTAAAGTCCTATCTTAAGGACCAACTCAACCTTAGTTTGATGAGAATGAATAGAAATGTCCTGTTCCTGGTCAAAAACCAGGACAACCTTTAGCAAATCACTAATGGGAGTCAGTCTGCCCAAGCACCCCACCCTCTTCTTTTGTGACTTCGCTGGGGAGTAGTTAGTTGAATTTTTTCCCCCCTCTCTTCTAGGGATGGGGACTTGAGGAGGTTTCTTTATTCCTAACAATTTTTGCTCAATTAGATCTAAATTTTGCTGAAAATTTTGTATTGGGGTAAAACTCTACTATGTAGCCCATGCAACCCTTTCTGGTTTAGACAGTAAGACTGTAGTTTCCATTGATTCAGGGAAGGGATGACCCAGCAGAATGTTCTAGTCGGTTCTTAGATTTTAAGTTTCAAAAGCCTAATCATCAGAGAGACACAGAAAAAAATAACTATGAGCAATAACTAAGATAAAATTTCAAAAAAAAAATGTCTTTTCTCTGTCCCTAACCCTTACACCCAATAGATTATATACAGTTTATCAGACTAGAGGGAACATGGAAAGCCAGAGATGGGATGACTAAGGGCATTTAGATTCTGGTGGGTTCCTGAGAATTGGCCTTGCCCTGCCTTCTCCCCAGGCCATCTTAGGAAAAGCTGGATGATAAAACCCCCACAGACATTTGGGGGATCTGACTGTTGAAAGACCAATGTGTCCTTTCACAGAGAGGGCTTAGGAAAGTCACAAGACTCTGGGGTTCTCCTTCATGTAGGTGAAGGAGAATGAATAGAAACGTCCCGTTCCTGGTCAAAACCCCCAATCTTTATGTGATTGTCTTGAGCCTCTTCTGTCACTTGGTGTGGGAAGCAAGAGGATTGTCCCTCCTAATAAATGCTGTATTTTGATGACTCATTGTAATCCCTTCTCTGGTCTCTCTGTTTAAATTGTCAGAGATGTGCCTGGGGATATAGGTGGTGATTAGGGGTAGTTCAGCTCAAGAAGGAAAATAATAAAGATAAGAGCAAAAACCTATATGATAGCCAGAGTCAAGATGGCCCCCAACGATCCTTACTTCCTGGTATTCATTCCCTTGCAGAGTTCTTCCCACACCAAATATGGCTGTCCCCTGTCATTGATAGGATATTCTAGAAATGATGATATGTGACTGTCAAGGCTAAGTTATATAAAAACATTACCAATTTGACCTTGCTCACGGAAATTGTGCATCATGATAGAATTTTCTGACTGTTTTAAAATGCTAAGCTCTGAAGTACTTTGTTATAATAATTAGTCAACTAATGAAACAGGAAGCCATGTATAATGTAGAGATTCAACAAAAACCAAAAAGTTCATTCTTTAAAAAGATTAATAAAAACTAATACACATTTGGTGAGACTTATCAAGAAAAAGAATGACTCAATTATCCAGTGTCAAAAATGAAAAATAAGACATGCAGATCAGATTCATAGACATTAGAGAGATAAAAAGAGGAGTCGATGAACTACTTTATGCCAACAAATTTGAAATTTTTATGAAAAGAACAAACTTCTAGAAAGAATATAACACTCTATTAACTAGGCTAAGACTAAACTATTATATAGAGCAAAAATACAATGCCTTTAAAAAAAATGTATGTTCATTTGTCTTTCATTTTCCAGTTCTTAGGAGAGTGATTGATGGGACAGCTTCCCTTGATGGGGCCATTCAGAGACATCACTGGTCAGGATCTTGCAGGAAAGAGAAGACACACTCAAACAAGGCTATTGAAGGAAACTCTTTAAGCGGACTATTGATACAAGAGTAGGAAGGTTAAGGGAGATGAACAAGGTACAATAAAACAGCCCAGGGCTAGCAATGGAGTGGGAGAGATGGGGGGTGAGGGTGGGGGAGGCGAAGGACTCTTTCTAACTGTAGGTTTGAAGGAACAAGGTATGGAAGCAGCTACTAAAATCAGAAGAGAATAAAGTAGAGACCATCACAAAAGATGCTGTGGTCATTGGTAGAAGGAGGCAACCACCCTGTGACAACTCAGCAGAGAGAAACAGGAAATAATTATCTTGACTTAACTCCCCTTCGCCCTCCCAACTAGAAGGCAGAAGACAAGGGAGCTATTAATGGAGCCCATAAAGCCTCCAGGATGCAGAGCAATGGGGAGTAGCATAGAGAGTGGATCTTGAGCATCATGTTGTTGCACCATTGTTCCCAAGGGGATTGTAGTTATCTGCATGGTGAAAGCTAGGTCACCACCACATCTGTGTCCATCGAACTGGAAGGAGAAAGAGGAAAGAGGATGTCAAGGAGAAATACCCGGTGTCTTAAGACCCAGGACTAGAAATGGTAGTCATTACTTCTTCTCCCTTACTAATAGTAGGAACTAATCACGTGGCCACATGTAACTAACTACAAGGAAAATTGAGTGATGTTATATGACTGGAGAGGCATATGTTCCAGGAGAAAGGAAGAATAAATTTTAGGGAACAATTACTAATCTGGGCCACAGTCCATGCTTCAGCCACTAAATATCCCTCTGCACCCTTCTCCCTTGCCAAGGAACATAAACTAAATTTCTATCCAATTTCTGTATCCAGCTCAAAGCACAGGGCCTCTGGGTGATGTTTTGACCTCTGCATTAGGTCCATATATGGCTGCATGTGGCAGCCCAGAAAATAAAATTATTGCCCCATACACACATCCAATTACAATGATTAAGTATGAACTAAAACACTCCTAGTGAAAGAAAGGAGGAGTGGAAATACACTCAGCTCTGGAACAAGGAGATTATCCCACCAGAAAGGAGTTGAGAAGATGCCCTGTCTTGGCAGTGATGTACTTTCCCGTGTTCTCTGTGATTCCAAATTTTGCCCCTTGGGAATGTTTCCTAGTGCTTTATGCTTTAAGGCCACATCTGAAGTGGATCTTGGAAAGACTGTAATTTTAGTAGCCCCCTTCCTACAGGTATTGGTTTGAGAGTCTGAGGACATTTTCAGGCCAGGCTTTTGGTTGCTTTTGAAATGTAAGTACCTAAGAAACCCGATAGGCTTCTGCCTCTGTTTGTTTTCATTCAGTGCCATGTGCCAACAACAACATGCTCAGATTTCTTTTTGGAACATTGTTTTTAAGCCCACTTTACTTGTTGGTTTCCCTGTCTATCCATTGCTCTCATTTAAATGCTGTCTCCTTTGAGGCGATCTGAATAATGGGTAAAATGAGGGCATACATTAATATAATCTTCCACAGTGCTAGATCTCTTAGCTTTCCTAATTGGGAAAAGCTACGAGTCATAGCAATCCTACCTCCTGCTGTTGGGGCACAGAACCAAATTTCTAGACCTTCTCAATAGTCTTCTGCTTTATGTCCACTAGTTTCTACCTGAGCACATATTTCCTTACTCTCCTCTATTACAAACATCAAAGAACAACCAACACACATCAATATTCTTGTTATTCTCTGGTTAAGGGGCCAGCCTTTCAGATGACTGCAGGAAAATTTTATTATACATTTCTGTGATGACATTATAAGGGTCTCCAATTTTGCAGCCTGTGATATCTGTTTCCTCAACTCTAGTCTAACCACATATTTAAGATTGTTCTTAGAAATCCATTTCTAGGTTCAGATTTCTATATTTCTAAGGTCATGTTAAGCTATTGTAACAAAGGGACCCCA